AATTGGACCAATAATGCAACACGCGCATGGTGAACCAGAGGTTCCAGATGAATCGGCAATTGTATTGTGAACTTCATTTTCAAACCTCTTGAACACAAATTTTTGGAAAGCATGGAAATGAATGGGGCTGAGGGCTGGCAAAATTGCGGTAAACAAATTTGGGCGGAAATCCAATTCTTTGTCCTGGAAATAAGAATGAATTTCATATAGTTCGAAATATTGTGCCGAGGACCAAAGAGGCAGCACGATGATGTATGAACTCGACGTTGACGAACCGACGGGGATTAGTTCATAATGGAGCGCATTGGAGAATTGTTTGATATGTGAATCTCATATGAGTAGTACAAAATTGTCTTTACGTCTGGATCAAACGTCGAGTGTACATCGTTCAGAAACTGGCAATGGCAAACCACCCTAAAGGCACTTCAAATCTTGAGGCGTTCCACAACGATGGGAAGCCGCGGTTCGTTGTCAACGTGCGGGGCTTGAATAGGGTCACCCTTGCGCCATTTGATGCGGGGATCCGGCTGAGAGAACTTGAAGGCGCGCAGCAGGACGCAGAGTACGACCTCTGGAAGTGAGAGCTCTATGAGTAAAGTCAAAGAAAAAGCGACCATTCCACTCACTCATCTCTAGTTGCGAAAATTTGAAGCCACTGCGGGAAAGCAAAATATTGGTTCATGTTCAAGATAGGAAAGGAGTACATCACTCACATGCAACTCCGGTTTCCACCAATGAAAGTCATGGTGTTCCCATAGACCCCGCAGAGCTTCGTGGTGACGGAATCTGCTTTACCGTTCACCCAGCGCTCGGGTCTGAACTCCAGCGCGTCTTCGCCCCAGACCTGCTTGTCGTGGTTCGATGCCCCAATAGCGATGTAGCATAGGGTTCCTTTGGGGACGTTGATCGTGTCCATAATTGTACCGTCCACCCCAGTGACCGGCGAGCTGAGGGGCATAACGTTGTCTTTCACGGCTCTGGAGTTTCCGTTAGAAGATTCGACGGAGAACTGAACCAAGACTTACTGGCGGATTACCGCTGGGGTAACAGGCGGATATCTGCCGCGGTACCACGTTGATACACATGTGCGAATTACAGACGGGAGACTTACAGTCGCATTGTTTCACGAATAACAGCGTCGAGATAGGGAAGGCCCACAATCGTGTCATGATCCATGGTTTCCGGGTGACCGAGAATTTCCGCCCGAAGCTTGTCTTGTATGTCCGGATTCTGTGCGATTATGTGGAGGAGCCGGTTCAACGAAGACGAGGTTGTGTCCGTTGCGGCGAAGATAATAATTCTGTTCGCAAAATTTGCACCATGGGACGGATGTAGAATTCCGTATACTTACGAGGTGGAAGCGACGAGCTCTTCGTCAGTGAGGCGCAACGCCTCCTCGCTAGCCATATTGCTCTTCACTAAATGAAAGAAGTCAGCGGAGGCGAGGTTAACGTCAGATAACACACTCAAGAGGCTCATTATGTCCTTCGCCTCGTCTTTGACCTCTAGGGTACCATTCCTGATCGCTTCCTTGCGTTCTCGGACGAGGTTCAAGGCAGTCGCGCTCATAAAATCGGTGATATCGCGGATTTCACGCAGCGCTGGGACCGGGAGTATACTTATCATAAAGCGGAGGAAGGCCCGGGAGGGTATTTTGGCAATGGCAGGGAGGACGGGTAGCCATAGCCCTAGTTTGAAAATCGCGGGACTAGGGATGCAAAATACATTAGACTATCCGAATCCAAAGAAGCATACTGCCTGGCACTTACAGTAGCCCCTTCAAGGCCCGCGCATATTGGTCGGTCCGCTCTTTCCCGGGGAGCATGGGATCAAACGAGTAACCGATGCCCGTTTGGCCGATCAGCTCCAATGATGTGCGACAAAGAACGTTGTTGAGGTCGAGCTACTCCGACTCAGCCTGGTTCTCAATGCCAACTCAGAGTGGCACTTACCTCCTGAGGGCCGTCACGGATGAAGGGTTGAATAAGACCATCTCGAGCCTGCCGGAAGATTGAGATGCAATACCTGATGCGGAACTAGTTCTTACCCTCTGTACGACTTCATAGAACATCGGAACCATTCCTCGGAGATTCGCGGTGGAGAATGCGGGGATCATGATTTTGCGAAATTTCCGGTGGTGGTCGCCCTCGGTGGAGAGTATGCCTGGGCCGAAAACAAGCGAGTTCATCCTGAGGTACGCAGTCAGGAGGATTACGGTGAGTGGGGATGAATATGACAGACGCAATCCCGTCTTTATAATCTCCATAGAGATTTTGATCCTTAACGAGGATGCTTTGCAGTGCGGCCGGATCGAACACGAACAACGCACGAGCCTGAAAAACCTTCAGGACTGCAGCGATAGACAGCACCACTTCCTTACACCGAGAAGTCCTTGGAATCTGACTACACGTCCATAATTCTGTTCCAACTTCCGCTGGAATTCCCAGCCGTCGGCATCATGATATTCAGTGAGATTCCCTGGCGAAGGAGTTGTGAATACGATATGAGTTACACATGCAAAAGAGGGGTCGCACCAGTAATGAAGGATGTGGGTGGAGGGCCAGGTATGTTGTCCAAGGTAGAGGAAGAGCGACGTCGAAGGATACGTACCACGTAGAAGATCGTGAGCAGGGCACAAATAATAGTGACCGGAGTCATTGGGAGAGGCGATGACGGCCAGGTGGATTGTAGAGCCTTTATCTGCATTGGTTAGTAACATTTTCCGCATCCTCGGACAATGACTCGCAGCTTCTTGATATGCGTGCGAAATTCAATTGGTTTTTGTCGCATACTTGACAAGACTGAAGTGATTTCAACATCAACGCATGGAGGCACCGCATACAGTTCCGCAGGCAATCGCGCGAATACTCGGGGCCGCTGCGATTATTAACGACCAGTAAAGTGCACGAAAAAGTCAATTTACCGTTAGTGCACACATATCGAAAGAACTATTTGAGTCTCACGACTCCGAGAAGTCGTGGGGGCCGAACGTTGCCGTGTTCTCGATGTTCTCCGATGCGGTGCAACTGCGTCATGCAGTATTTCATCGCGGGTCCGATTTTTAGTCAAAGCGGAGATGAAAGCGGCAGCCGTGGTTTCTTCTTCTCACACAAAGTGTCTAAGCGAAGTGATTTGCCACAGTTTGCCACCGATCACCAACAGGCCCCCGGTCACTACCTTATCGGACGGTCTGCGATAGAGTAAATTAACGCCCCAAAACGGCCCTATCTCCAGCCATTTTATAGAGTAAAACAGACCGGAAACGAGCAAAGTTCGACTGGAATAGAGTAAATCTCGAGGAGCGCGAGATTTTTTTTTGGCAAAGCATCCTCATAAGACCAAAGTGATATTGATTATGTAGACCGAGAATCGAGCTGCAAGACTCAAGAGGTGTTGGAAAATGCGAGTAGTGGGTGCAAATGGTTGAGAAAGGGTCCAGAGGCGAATATTTTGGCCCCACAACGGAAAATGGGAATTTTGACCCCAAATGTCAGTCGGAAATAGAGTAAATCAGGCGGCTGAACCGGAAATTTATAGAGTAAATCAGCCGTTTTCGGGCGCCAAAATCCGACCAGGCTATAAGGTGTCTTCACCAACCGATCACTATATTTGGTCGGCGATCAATGATTTACCTGTCAACCCCGATGTTTGACAAGACATTTGCGTTCATCAGCCATGATTGTGCTGCCGCGGCGTCCGATGATGCATGGCGCACACCCGCTCGCAATCAACGGTTCGCCGACGGGGGTGCGTGTGACGTGCCCACCGAGGACGTCGCTCGCGTTCTCGGCCCACTCGCTCGCTGGCGTCTGCGGGAGTGCGCCCGAGGAAATGGTAAGGACCAAGTTGGGCGGGGAGGAATAGATAGTTGTCATTCTAGATTATTTCCAGTATATACACGGGTCATTTCCGTTTATTTCCAGGGTAGAAAGCAAGAAATGAGACGAGAACAAGACGATGGAGCTTTGGAGGTCCAAGTCTTTCGTGTAAAATTCGAGTTGGACGATAGAGGTTTCGAGTCCAAAGCAAAAAGTAGATTCAGCCCCATCTTGACGAGTAATGCAGCCTTTTATATGGACGGCTACGGTGGAGTTCGAGACATGACGCGGTGAGGAAGCAAGGGAAGCTGCAGGTAAATAGACGTAACTAGTTTCGCAGCCACCGTGATGGGATCAAACAAACCTTTGTCCCGAACCTTCACGTCCTCCGAGGCGCAGCATGTATCTCTCCCGGGGTGCCCCACCTGAAACTCTCGTCCACAAGACTATCGTTGCTCGCCTTCTGTTCAGGAATCAGAAAGACTGTTCTATTGGTTATACTGTAGTATTTCGTTCAAATCGACACTGGGTGTGACGCGTGACCCAAAAAACCAATTCGACAGCAGCCAAATTTGGTGTGACACCAACGAAATTTTCGACATTGAAACGAAAATTTTGGCTTTTTTGGGTCTTACAAGCAATTTTGAGCCCTGTGTGACGCTCGGGAGGTTCGACAAACAGTCGCGTGCTGCGTGACCCTTGCCAAATTTCGATATCGATAGGGGGGTGCGTGATGCGTGACTGTCGATTTGAACGAAATACTACAGTACGTCCTGACTTGGATTCCTGGATTCCTTCTTTCATCCGCCCTGGGACTGAATTCAATTGCTCACGTATTAAAGTACCCAACCTGAAAAATAACTCGGACGTAGTGCACGGCACACCCTCGCTTTGTTTGGTCACCCTCCCGAAACCTCAATAAATGCGGGAAGACAAGACCGGGTTCGACCCCTGGCGTCCGAATGCCAGAGTCATCAAGGCTTTTTGCCGCCGTGACCACGCGGCATGTTCATCAATGGGCATCCACGAATACATTTTTTCTTTGCCCAAACAAACACTCTCGGGAATCGGCACTGCTATGTACTCGCTCGTGAGCATTTCTCGACATCGCAAACAACATCTGAGTCTCTGAATCACGCTCAGAAACCTCCCTCGCAGCCTCCCCTAACGTTAAAGAGTACCTCGGATGTGGTGCATGGCGCACACCCGCTCACGCTGCTTGGGGGAAAGTGTGAATTGTGCGGGAGGGCTGGGTTCGATTCCTAGCGTCCGAATATTACCGTCAACGGATTTTTTTTGCCGTTCACAGGTCGGTAAATCATTTCCTCTCTAAGGTCATTCACCTGACTAATTTTTCTCTTTTCTCTTTGCTTTGCCTTAAAAATGACAAAAAAAAAAAAAAAACACTAGTGAATTCTCAGTTTTTGAGTGTGGTTGTCTGATTCATGTCCAAAAAAATCCCCTTCGTATTCCGGCACTCGGCATAGAGAGTACCTCGGCTGTGATGCTTGGCGCATAATCGCTTTCACTTTGCAGTTTGAGTATGATGGAATCCCGGGTTCGCCTCCCGGCGTCCGAATGCTGTAGCGTAAGCGCATTCTCTTTTTGGCTCGCGCCACAGACACCGCGCCCACATGAGCGCAGGCGAACCGCCCGAGCCTTGTAACCTAGTATCTAGGCTTGACTATGAGGGAGAATTGGGACGATGTCGGGCTGGAATCGAAGGCGAGGTCCACTGCATACTCGCGTGAGAACTTCTATGACTTGCAGAAGGGCACCAGGCTCGAGTAGGCACGTTCTCCGGATGCGATGTTGTAAGAGTAATTTTTTATTCTTTATTTTCACTCTGGTTATCACGTCAGGCAGACAGATGACTGCAATCTGCGAGCAGGGTGTCAGCCCATTACTGAACATGTCCTTTGCCCACCTGATGGTGAGGCTCATTCACTCCTTTTTCGAAGGTCCCGGCGAGTGCTGGTAAACAATTTACAAGAATATAAACCTCACAACAAAGAGGCACTCCGTCGGCCTTTGTGAACTGAAGGTGGCTTCCTTTATGGTAACTTGAATTTATAGCGAGTTCTTTGTTCAGCTCGAAATATACTAGAAACGCGGAAACTCTATCTAACTGTTCACAATTTAGACGTGCTGCTGAGACGTTTGCCTCTGTTAGCCCCCAACTTGGCTGCCGCTTTAGCGCGAACTCTTTCGGCAATGAGTTTCGATCGCCGGGTGAAGAACTCCGCCGGATCGTGGCCATGCAGTTTCATCCCCAGCGGCCCTCCGACGTTTGCGAATTTTCTAGAGGCCGCGTTTGAGAAACGCCAATCCTTCCCGCTAAAATTGGCAACTACAGTGTAGAACCGGAGAGCAAATCGGGTACCCGCGCGACCAGAATGTGTACTGGCATTCACCTGGCGAGTGTGAGAAACTACGTCGTCGACGAACTGGGAGAGTGTGCGGAGGATATAGCTTTGGGCACATGCGTGGACAACGCCGGTGGACCCGTGCATGCAATGGAGGAGGAGGAGATTTGCCGCTAAGTCAACGGGAATTTCGTCTAAAATGTTCGTGCCGCCGCACAGATGGGAGGGGAATATTTGTGAGATGTCAGATATCCCGGCCTCGAGACATTTCTCAATCATTTTGGATATTGGAGCGGACCCGTCACGTTCGTAGTATGGGAATGGTTGAGATATGGCGGGCCCGATGATAGTCGGGCGGAAGATGAGGAGTGCGAGCCGGGGGTATCGGAGAAAAAGAAGTCGCTCCGTGAGGTGTTTTGTGAATGCATAAGGCGACGGAAAACCCTCGACCGCAGAACCTGTCTCCAGTATTTCGGCAAGCTGCTTCTCCGCGTCGCGAGTTTCGTATATCTTCTCCTCCACGGACCCCGCAGGAAGGAACGCGTTAACATACGCGGTGGATACGTGCACGAACCGCGAAAGGTTCTTAAAGCCCGATGCGAGTTTGGCGAGCTCGAGGGTCGGAAGACAATTGTCGCGAATGGTATCGTTCAATGACGCCATGAGACTGATATTCGCCGCGCAGTGAATGACGAGAGTAACGGATCCCGCCAGCTCGGCGAGAGCGCCGGGATCAAGCCCTAAATGCTTTTCTCCCACGTCCCCAACCAGAAGCTCAACTCGACCTGTCGCTAGTATCCTGTCAATATGACCCGACATGGAGGCAGCCCATTGAGATTTCGCTCTCTCGATAGATCCTCGAACCAGAACGTATATTTTGTCCGTATCGACCTGCAATGCAAGCTTGAAAAGAATGCAGGCACCCAATCCGCCGGTCCCTCCGGTCAGCAAGACCGTGTGTTTCTTGAAAAAGGCCGAAGGAACCTCGTAATCCACGATATTCATCCTGAGGGTTTCTTAGCCTCTATGTTATGTACGTGAAAAAAATCAAAAACTGTACTGACTCCAAATATACGGTTGCACTGACGGACCTTTTGGCCGGGGAGGTATATCGTACCGATCTTTTGTTCATATTTATTCGGTATATGGAGCCGAGATCCTTCCTGTCAGATCCATGTACTCGACCTGGGGTTATCCAAATGGCTTTACCTATTACCTGGCGTCTGACTTGGAGCCGAAATGAAAGCTACGTCGATTTGAGCGTGGCAGGCTAAACGCAAGCCGGAATCGCAACTCGGGACCGTGCCGTGTAATTCTACCTACCTACCTACCTATCAGGTTATGAAACTCCTTGTAGATCGGAATTAGCTCATCAACGATAACTCCAAGCGGAATAGAAGCCGCTCCCTGGCTCCCGAACGCTAGTCATGATTGTATAATATAGTACTTCGGCTGCGTAGGAATTTACCCTCTAGTAGGAAATCCCAAGCTGCAACCTGAACCATGCCCTCGTAAGTTTGTCCTTGCGCGTCCAAGTTCAACAATCGCGAATTCTCATACAGGGCCCCTGAGCAAAAGTACCTCGCCCTCATCACTGCTGGGAAATCCGCATCCACCGAAACACTCGACGCACTCTTTGAGCAGCTCAAGCCTGTTAAGCCGTCCTTCCTCACCGGAGAATGGGTGGGGGGACACTTCGCGCTGCCGATGGTTGCACCGGATGTTGCCAAGCACGCCGACTGGGTGGTTAGGAAGGTTACCTGGGGGAAAGTGTTTCGTGCCGACGGGAATGTGGATCCGTTTGTTCTCCTGGATCCCGGTGTTAAGGTATGTATAGTTGTTATTGCTCGCACTCAAGAAAGGGCGGTGGGAAATAATGTGCGTTATTCTCGCAGGTTGTGGAGGCAGAATTCTGCGGCGTTGTATCTGCGGCAATTGTCTCGGACAAAATCCCTTTCATCGATTATTTCCGGTATGTGGACGACGATACTGTGGCGGGACAGTCCTATATAGGAAACGCAACGTTGGCAAAGTTCCTGGGCATTCCACATGTTCACTTCTTCATGAAGAAACGCAGATCTGCGAAATTGTAGATACCCAGATGAATCATGTGTCACAAATGGTCATTCGTGTCCCTTACCTTGGGCGTTGTTGAGTCCTGGGCTAGAAGATTATTTGCGAATGGCGGGACTGTCAGTTGCACGCTTTGCGAACAGCGTCCTCGTCGCCCGACTCGCCCCTGTGCCTTATCGGCCCGACCAATACGAAGGATAATGCATCTGGGGCCACCCTTGGTTCCCGCCACTGGATAACGATACATTTGATCTTCGCCCCTGTGATGTACTCCCGGCTGGTTGGCGACCGTGGTGCGCAACGAAGATAAGGCTCTAGCCATTTAGTTTTCGTTTACGGCTGAGCGTACACTAAAGGACGAAATAAATATTTGTAAACGGTTCTAATTAATAAAAATTCATCGAGCCGCCGCATGGCGGGCTGCCGGCAGCCATAAAAATATATTACATGTAATAATTAAGGTACCCCTCCTGAACCGTCTGCGTGAAAAGCAAAAAAAAAGAATGAGGAAGAACAGGGAGAGACCATAGAAATGGAAAGAACCGAGATTGTATGCAAGTCCGTTAAGCCTAAGTGAATGCGGCCTGTTCAGATGAAACAGTAGTCCAGGGAATGAGAACAAGAATGATAGAAAGGTGTATAAGCGGAATTTCCACCTTCTGATCCATCAAAAGTATTCGGCGTGGCGTCTAGACTTGAGGCATATGTCCAAGTCGAAGATCGCTGTCCACAATAGTCCAGAATGAAAGCGAGCATAACATAGATAAGCGTATAGTTGAAAATTTTCGCCTTCTAATGAAGGCGCAGCATTCGGTACGGGATCGAGGAACACGTCAAAGTGAGAATTGCTTTCCCATATTTGCGCCACAGCTCGGACGATGTAATCGGTTCAAAACTTGAATCGGTCTCGGACCCGCGGGTTCACGCGATCACTACAGCGGCGGTCGTCCCATCCGCGAAAATACTAGTTTACGGGATGGGCTGTTGAAGGCCGAGATTTATCTCGGGGGAGACCTCGGATCGGATGGAAGTTTGGGTCGAAGGAAATTATTAATTGTTTGTCCCATGTTTATCCCCATCAAATGTTGGCTAATCGCGCCTAGTCGCTCACCACCACGTCGCGAAAACGATCCTAGTCCTAACAGGCCTGTCCACAACTACGTCCACGAATCCATGCCTACAGATCCTGGGGGTCAATCTTTGCCCCAGTTGTGCTGCCATCCAGCGGGCGCGTTCTGCGTAACCGTCTCGTAAAAGTGTGGATTTCCTCATACTAATATCGGCGACCAGTTGTTGAACGTACGTCAGGTCGCACTCTATGAACATTTGGCGGGACTTTTCGGTGGTTCCCCCAACGAATTTCACTTGCAGCTCTACTCAAAATGGTCTATGTACGATTGGGGGATGATTTTCACTGGCAATGTACAAGTTTCGCCACAGCATCTCTCCGTGGCGCGAGATCTCGTTCTTCCGCGCGAACTATCCGAAAGAAATCTCAAGCCTTTCCGAGAACTTGCTGCTGCTATGCACGGATGGCGGGATGAAAAGCCTCCTCTGGCCATCATGCAGTTGAATCACACTGGACGCCAGTCCCCCAATATTTTGGGAGGCAGGCTTCCGTTTTCCCCGCCGCTCGGTCCTAGCAGCATACGTGTCGGATCGTCTCTACACAACCGTGGAATTCTCTCTGATCTCCTTCACCGACTGGTGTTCCAGATTCCTCGCTCCATGTCCCTGCATGACATTGACGAGGTCGTTGAAGCATTTGTTCGTGGTGCTAGGCTCGCCGCTCAGACCGGATACGACGGTGTTGAACTTCATGTGGCTCACGGATG